TAAAGGGTCTAAATGCAGATGTTGCAGCAGAATGTGAAAGTTCTCTTTTTAAACGAGGTCTTGTCTGAAGATCCAAACATAAGGCAAACAACTATTTTTTTTTCTGTTTTTGCAAAATATTAAACGAAAGCTTTGCAACAAAGCAACTTAAAAGGTGCTCACTGCAAATAATGAATTCAAACATAAAAAAGATTCTCCTGAATTAAATCATATGTTTCAATTAAATTTCAATTCAGTTTATTTATATAGCGCCAAGTCACAACAGAAGTCATCTCAGGGCACTGAACAGAAACATTCGTATATAAAAATAATAATTTAACACGATTAATCTGAGGAGCAGACGCTTTGAATTCAACTCCATCACAGAACTCTCATTTTGAGCAAGCACAAAAGCAACAGTGGAAAGGAAATCTCCCTCATGAGGAAGAAACCTTTAGCAGAACCAGGCTCAGGACAAGCGGCCATCTGCTTCGACCGGCTGGGTTCGAGACGAACGGGAAGGAGGAACAGAAACACAATGGCAGGTCAAGAATCACATATGCTGCAGTTTGAGAGTTTATTTCAGTAGCTTTTCAGATATATCTAATGTAATAATGAAATGTGGGTCCGCATTCAATGTAAACAAAACACAATAAGCCAAGACACCTGGAAGAGTCCATGTTTGATCTATGTTAGTCGGTTTAGTTAAATAAATATGGTGGCAAGTTTAACATTAATGCTATTTTATTGGCAGCACGATGGATCAATGGTTAACACTGTTGCCTCACAGCAAGAATGTGCTGGGTTCAATCCCCGGTTGGACCTGGGGTCTTTCTGTGTGGAGTTTGCATGTTCTTCTTGTGCATGCGTGGGCTTTCTCCGGGTACTCCAGTTTCCTCCCACAGATCAAAAACATGTAGTTAGTCTGCCTTCAGGTCCAGGCCTCCATTGCAAAAGATTTCTGTGATCTCAGTGGGATTTGCCCGGTTAAATAAAGGTTAATACATTTTCAGTCACTTAGGCTCATTCCACAGGTAAACAAATGAAGGTGGTAGATGGCATCTAATTGTAAATTTTGCTTACAAATTGTTCATTCAAACACACATGAACTCTCAATACGAGCTATTACTTTATGATTTTGAGGGGCCGGTCTTCATGACTTTGTAATGAGAACATTCAAACTGATTAACTGGGACAAGATGTTGAAGAACTTAAGACACGTGCACTGTTTAGAGTTTGAAGCTGTTAACGGTCGGTGAAGGTTGGTTGTAATGGAGACAAAAGCTGGAACATAAACACTCATGCACACAATAAACAGCAGTGGCTCTAATATGGACACATTTATCAGTAATCTGAACTATACTATATAACTATACTATATACGGGGGAGTGGTGGCGCAGAGGTTAGAAGATGGGCTTGTGATCGGAAAGTGGCAGGTTCACCTCCCAGTACCGTCAACATCAAAATGTGGGTGGAAAAGGTGAAACACCCACACGTGCCTCCACCCTCATTTGCCCCACTCTGGGCCCCTGAGCAAGGCACTCAACCCCCACTGCTCCCTAAACAGGTCTCTCTTGAAAATGAGTTCTCGTGGATCAATGAGACTACCAGGATAAATAAAGGGTAAATGAAAAAAAAATACTGGCAGCAGCAGCTCAAACTAATATAAATGTAATTTAAACCAGATGAACTCTAAGGAACAGGAACTTCCATTGATGTGATTTGTGTGACCTCACGGTTTCACATCAACATGACTGTGTAGGATCATCTGTGATAAATATGTCACCTATGTGAAGGAGCTGAGCCAAGAGGAAGAGGCACTCCCACGCATGTCACTCACAAATATGCATCACCTCACGTGACCTTATAGCCCTAATATCTCCCGTATTTTACATTTTGGAGACAAACTGTCACGTGGACGTGGCATTTATATGAGCGCTTCTGGGGTGTCAGGGGGTGTCTGTGTTACCAACAGCTCCCACTAATGTCACGTAGCAGCTGCAGCCCCTCATCAGCAGTGTGCTAACACGCACAGAGGCAGCAGCTGTCCACGCAGTGTCACTCAGCGTGGACAGCTACAGACCTCTAAACAGCTAACCTTTAGCTCCTCAACAGCTAACCTGTAACATCACAGAGTTAGGACAATAGACGCCGCTAATATCGAGTAGGTTAAAAAAAAAAAAAACCTAAAGCTACCGTTAGGTGGTATCAACGACACTTGGTGGGAAATATTTCATTTTAAACATTTGACACGCTTACCTTCGGTGGGCACGTTATAAAACCCACAAATTCCTAACCCACCGCGAAAAAAAAACTAAAAACTAAAAACAAATCACCTATTGATTTTAGACAGGGACAGAATTGTGAATTTCTTATGGGTTTACATCTATTTCCGTTTTCTCGCTTTCAGAATAAAAGTTTACGCAGATTAAACAATGTACATTGTGGTGTTTCCTGCTCTTTTCACGTAAGAGCGATAGAACTGTAGTTGAATTATTAAACGGCATATTGCTAATTTAATTGTTGTTTTCTTTGTAACTTCTAAGAAGTAAGATCTGTCATGAAATCAAAACAAAAATTCGAGGTTAAAAGTATGACTACTGCCGACTTCCGGTTAGTCAAAAGTCTGCTGATGTTAACCCTAAACTCTTCATTTTGGAATTAATAAAACGATTTTTCTTCTTCTTTTTTTTTTTTTTGTAGTTGTTTTTACCTACACGGTATAATGTTATTAACATGAAGTTTGTTGCACATGCAGACTTTTTTTTTTTTTTTTTACAACCTCGAATTTATTCACCCTTGCTTTTCTCATTTAGTATAGGGCTATATAAAGTATACAATAGATGAGTTTAACATGACTGAACTGCACAGAAAATGTCTGGATTTTAAATAAATTAAGAAGAAAAGCAGCCAATTTGTAAAAAAAAAAAAATAATAAATAGATGTCTGGTTGCTTTTAAGCAAAATTAAAAATTAAGAGGGTGCTTAAAAAGTTTGCACGTGATTAAGTTGTTTAAGAACATGAATCAGATGGTTCACAATTTGTGAACCATCTGGAAATATAATGAGCTTGTAAACGAGTTTATATAAAGTTTATAAGAAGACCAGAGCCAGGTTTAGATATTTTGTGGCCCAGGGCAAATCCCAGACATGGTGCCTCCCACTTCTCTAAAGTGTCATTGTTTCTAACCCTTATTTATTTAAGACCTTCTTATAACTTATTGTTTATTGTGACATGTAAATCTTATCTTTCAGGTTATTTGCAATTGATTATTGCAGCAGCACTTCTACAAAGTTTTCCACAATGTGACCAGATGGGAGCTGCTGATCATTTGGAGAGGCACTTCAAAACCAAAATTGACACTATTAATTGAAAATAAATAAATGAAATAAATAAAGCCATTCATTATCTTTACCTTATCTTTACCCACTTCTTTTGTGTTGCGGTAGTCGCTGCTGCCCATATCCAGCAGTCACTGTGTGAGAGGCAGGTGCCAGGGGACACCCTGGACAAGTTGCAAGTCCATCACAGGGACAGAGACAAACGAGACAAACAACCATGCACTCTCTCACTCACACCTAGGGACAATTTAGAGTTACCAATCAGCCTAACATGCATGTTTTTGGTCTGTAAGAGGAAACCGGAGTATCCGGAGAAAACCCACGCATGCACAGAGAGAACATGCAAACTCTGCAGAAAGGCCCATTCGATCCGGCAACCTTCTCGTTAGGCAACAGATCTGCCAACTGAGCCACTGTGCCACCCATAAATAAATGAAATATTAGCTCCTAACAGTTTTTCTTTTTTTAAAATAAAAATTAAAAATTAAACAGAAAATCCTGCAGACAAGAAATCCTATGGAAAATATTCCAGATACTCTTCCTACTGCACAAGGAAAGTTTGTGTTTTCTTTATGATTCCTGCTCATGTATAGATAGAAAATAATGAAGAAGTACCGGTAGATATTTTAGTCAATTGCTGAGATCAAATGTAATACATACAGAATGGATATATCATAAAAGTTAACAAGACATCAGTGGAACAGGGAGGGACCCTTAACATTAAGAAAAACTATTGAAGTCAAATTGAAAGCAGAAGTCTGAGCATTAAACAGTAATAACTCATAAAAATTAAAACACCCAACTGGGTTATATTCATACAATCAACAAATAATCAATAAACTGGGAGATAAAGTTAGGGAGGCCAGACTGAGATGGTGTGGACATGTCAAGAGGAGAGACTGTGGGTATATTGGTAGAAGGATGTTAGAAATGCAGCTGCCAGGAAAAAGGCAAATAGGAGATATATGGATGCAGATAGAGAGGACATGAAGGTAGTTGGAGTGAGGACAAAGGATGCAGAGGACAGAGTGAGGTGGAGGAGGATGACTCGCTGTGGTGACCCCTGAAGAGGGAAAAGCCGAAAGAAGAAGAACATCCATCCATTTTCTTTAACCGCTTGTTCCATTTTGGGTCACGGGGGTCGCCGGTGCCCATGTCCAGCAATCACTGTGCGAGGGGCGGGGTACACTCTGGATGGGTCGCAAGTCCATCACAGGGCCACATAGAGACAAACAACCATTCACTCTCTCACTCACACCTGGGGACAAATTAAAGTTACCAATCAGCCTAACATGCATGAACATACAAACTCCATCCAGAAAGGCCCCTGGACCGGGGTTTGAACCAGGGACCTGCTCGCTGAGAGGCAGCAGCTCTACCAGTTGTGCCACCGTGCTGCCCAGAAGAAGAACAAAGAATCAATAAAATGTAACCAATAAAGTACAGAGATGAAGGACTTATAAGTGCAGACAGAGAATAAAAACAAATTTTATTTGAAAAGGCTTCACAAACAGTTTGTACAACTTAAACATTCTTTGAGGTGAAAGACTTGACACTTTATTTTTTGTTTATTCCCTGCTCTGCCACAGTTCCTCCACTCCAGTAGGGGGCAGTAACGCACCTTTAGGCGGGTAACCGCCGCCATTGAAAACAAGGACAGCGACCCGGAGCAGGAAGTTTAGGTCCACCGCCGGTTCCATGTGTTCGCTTTTCCATTCATTAAGCGGTAACGTTAAGCAGCACAATTTTAAATGAAAAATCGACATTATTGTGATTTTAGAAAACGGTAATCTATAGTTTCCCTTCTAAACAGACCAAAGCCGCACGTGTTGCTAATCTAGCTAAAGAAGAAGTTGCGCTAAAGAGTAAAAAACAACAATCTCATTGCGAGTGAAGATTTCAGAGCTGCTAGCTGTTTTGGATGAAAGGTGCTCGCGCCACCAGCATGATTAAGGAAAACAGGTGGAACATCCCCCCCAATGCTCCTGCGTGCATGGAGAAGCACCTGTGCGCGGCTCAGTACCGAGCAGGTAAGGAAGAAGCTGGAGAGGTCGGTGGAGGGGAAACACGTGGTGACGCTGGTTTCCCCACCAGTCTGTTTACATCTGCACGCGCCCTGGTAAACTAGACAGTTTACCTCATTAGCGCAGTTCAAGTAAATGCAGTGTCATTATTGCAGGTTTTAGCCATCAATGCTGTTTAAATTCTGGATCAGGACCCCAGATGTCCTCACACTCATTCAGCTTTAATGATTTCTTGTCTCATAAACTGTGATTATATCCAGAGAAGGCATCTGATCAATGCCATAATTATAGACAAGGTCTAAAACATACACTTTTTTTTAGTTTTACTACAAATGTGAACAATTTTGTCAAATGAAGCTAATTTTGTATTAAGACTTTAAACCCAATTATTATATAAGTCGGAGAGTCAGTTTCTTTGTGGAACGAAATTATGTGCACAGGGTCCCAGTAACATCCAACAGTAAAATGTAAAAGAAAAACTAATAAGATCTAAGATATGAACTAAGAAAAACATAAACTAAAAATACACTAAGGACTAATAGCATAAAAACAATACGCCGAACAGCAGCATGAACATGAGTCTGTGTGAGCAGATGAGCATGAATGAACACAGCAACATGAAACAGATCAGCAGCAACATGAAACAGATCAGCAGCAACATGAAACAGATCAGCAGCAACATGATGTGATTCTTCACAGTGATTATTCTGGGTAGAGTCCTAGTAGTTTTGCCAGAAGGTCAAATTGGAGATGAGATGGAGGTAGAGTGAGGACAGAGGATGCAGAGGACAGAGAGAAGAATGACTCTCTGTAGCGACCCCTGAAGAGGGAACAGCCAAAAGAAGACGACTGCCAGAAATGAGGAGACACTTTGCACGGTCTCTGAAGTATTGTGGACATCTTGTTACATTTTAAATTCTTTTGTTGTGATTTTTTTAAATAGTCGGAAAGGACTTTACCTTTTCTTTGAGTATTTTTTTTTTACTCTTGATAAGAAGCATAACATAATCCAAAATAATCTAATAAATTAAAAAAAAAATGAGATAGACAACAGATAATACTTATGGAATAAAACAAAGTTTTCATTTTTCCAAAACAAATATACACACACACATAGATATATATATATACCTCCAGATGCAGGAAGAGGGCCCACTCACCCAGCACACACACATATTGCCTGGCTTCCCTCAGGAAGGAGATTGAGGAGCATTAGGTGTAGAACCACTAGACTGAGGAACAGCTTCTACCCTGAAGCTGTTAAGACTCATGAATCTCTAACCAGAAAAAGAGCAGCATCGTGCTGCCGTCTTGACAGAAGATTACACAATAAAGTTCCACCACTGCACAAATATATGTGTTGAACTTACTGCTTAGTTTGGTTGGTCAAACCTGGATAAAAATGCAGATCTGGCTGATGGGTTCTAGTCACTTGAATTTTTTTTTTTTTTAGGCTTATCTACTTCTGAAACCTATATAATTAGTTAGAACTATACAATTTAAAGGAAATGACACCTCATTTGTTATGATGGGTTAAGTAGAACTAATTCAGCAGCTTGAAATGTGTCGCTAACTACGACACTGAAGACACTAATTCAATTCAGGAAAATGGATTTGAATAAAAAGCTGTGATAAAAATGAACAGTTTTCAGGCCACCTACAGCCATTCACATAGCGGTTCTTTCTAATGTCTGTTGCTGATGCTGGAAGGCTCGTCAAATATTTTATATGAACCTGTAGACTAGGATTGTAATCCAGCATCTAGGTATGCTACGGGAGGGTCTGATATTTCAATGTGGGACTTCCAAGTGCCTATTTTTTTACCACTGTTCTTTCTTCACAGATGGCACCCTGCTGATTGGTGCCTCCAACCTCGCTGGCAGGAACTGGCAGGGATCCGTATGGGTCTACAGTGACCCCGAGCAGGCCCCCAGCGAAGGATTCTGCAAAGCTGGTGTGCAGACGGAGGCTGGAGTCACAGACGTCAGATGGGTGGCTGAGAAGGGGATTGTTGCTGCATCAGATTCAGGTGAGATATAGATCCACTGGATCTGAATAAAGCACCGAGCTGAAGACACAATAACTCGATTTTGATTTGGTTTTGTCGTTTCACCTGTGCAGGTGCCTTGGAGCTCTGGGAGCTGGCAGAGAACGAGCACCTGTTGGTGAATCGTTTTACCAGATATGACCACGACAACGTGGTCACCACGGTGAGCCCTGTCGTTGGAGGAAGCGGTGCTGTGACGGGCAGCATGGACTGCAGGTGAGACACTTACAAATCAGAGGAAACAAACGATCTCAACATCATGTCTTCCCTCTGCAAACAAACTTGATTATAGGGAAACAGCTACATTAGTAAACAGTGTCGGATTAAAACTACAATACGCACGTTTATGCTCACTGAACAACAACAGCAACTTCGCAGTCACTCCGGATCCAGATCTTTCAAGTAAAGTCCAGAACCATAAATAAATGAACCGCTGAAGCTCCACTGAGGGATCAACAGTTTTAATGTTTCTAGATGCAGCGTTGCATGAACGCTTGAAGAGAATCTGCGTTTATTGTTTCTATTTGAAACTATAGTTTTTGTACGAGGGTCTTTGATCACCTTTACATAGTTTGTCTTCTCTTCAATACAGAATTAAAGTCTGGGATCTCAGTCAGGAAACTGTTGTCACCACCTACAATGGTAAGAGAACGTTTGCAGACCGTTCAAAAAAACCAAATTAAGTAGTTTTTATTAAATTGACTTGTATTTAGGCAGATAACTAATTACTAATCTCAAGCGAGGAAATTAAACTGCTGACTTGTCTTTCATAACAACCATAGCCTGACACTGATACAGCCCTGTTATTAATCATTTTAGTGGGACTTCTGTGATTATTCTATCAAATTTTATAATAATATATTTATTTATGTCAAAAATGTGTTTCCTGGCCTTCCAGTTCAAAGTGCATCTTATGTTCATGACAACAGACTGAAATTTTATTTGGTTGTTGTCAAGTTTATTTGATTGTATTCTAAGATTTACATTGTTTTTATTTGTAATTATATTTTTAATAGTTCTTCAGCTGGTATGAGTACCAGCTGTGTACCATGCCTGTGAATGTTTTACACCTGTAAGAACAACTCCAACATCTGTTTAAAACTAGTTGTCTGTTTTTTAGACTGAATCCCATAAAAATATATATTTTTCTTTTTGTTAAATCTCTTCTTTCTACAGTGCACACACAGCCTGTTAATAGTGTTGCCTGCAGTCCTACAGACGAGTCTCTCTTCATCTCCTGTGGCCAAGTATGTTTATCGATTATTGTCGTATTCAAAATCATAAAATAACATTTTGTGGGGGATTACGGCCACATCTGGGTTGGTGTGTCTCTCCACTAACTTGAATGATGTCAGGCAAACAACTGTTTCAAAAAATGTTTGAAATGGACAGTTTTATTGGGATAAATAGCAAATTAAAGAGTTTTCAGATTTGCTGTTTAAATATTGAATAAAGCACCAAGAACTTTTGTGCTTTGTTTTTTTAAATAAAATAATATAACCGATCAAAATGATTTGAAACGAACATAATCAAGCAGTTCCACGTGGGTTTAATAAAGTGGAGAATAGAGACGGGTTTAATATTTGATTCTCTTAAATAATGATGCCAGCGTTCTCTCTGATCACTCAGGATGGCCGAGTGCTGATGTGGGACAAGAGGAAGCCGAACAAACCAGCCTCAAAAATCGGTGAGCAACCTTCTGTGGTCTGTCGAGCAGCTGAGCGACGGCACCGTCACATTAGGAACCAAGAAACATTAACACAGCGAATAAAAAGTCCATTATAAGATTCTGAGGGATGATCACAGATGCTATTAGCGGTCTTGTTTTTGTCACTACTTCCTGTTCTATGGTATTTATTTTTCTTTGCGTTGTGTGACTTCAGCAGCAACTCCTGAATTTCCTTCGGATAATAAAATCTTAATAATTTCCCACAAAGCTGCAGCCTCTGTGATGATGTAACTTGTGTTTTTATACAGATGTGGAGCCCTCGAGTGGCTCTGCTACCACCGTTGCTTGGCACCCCCACCACAGAAGCACCATTGCATTTGGTAAGGCTCGGCAGCAGGTCGATGACCGGCGGAGTCATGGTTCCACATTTTCAAACAAACGTTACATTTCAGGTGATGAGCTGGGCAGAGTGGCCGTAAAAGATTTCCTGGGAACCGAACCGGCCCGGGTGAAGACGGTCCACAGCCGCAGAGTTAACAGCCTCGCCTTCTCCACGAACAGGTAAAGTTATTTAGCGTGTCAACATCTCACATTTGTCTTCCATCAAATGTCTGTAAAACCAACGTTTTAACGCTTCGTTCACTCCAGTGATGCTTTGCTGGCCTCCACCAGCGATGACTGCTCCCTCGCTGTTGTGAACTCTGAGCTGCAAGAAGTGTGAGTCTTTACACTCGGTGCTGAAACCCACAGCTCAGTTTTACACCACAAATTATACAAACTGCATGATTTTTTATTTATTTTTTGTTCTCTGTAGGCTCAGAGATCGGCGACACCAGGACTTTGTCACAGGTGTTTGCTGGCTTCATGGGAGCTCCACCGCTCTCACAACCGTAGGCTGGGATCATCTTGTGCTCCATCACACCGTGACTCCAGCTGCTGGATCCTCTGATTCCTCATCTTAGTCTTTAACACTTTAAGTTTTATCTTTGAAAGCAGTTTGTCTTCACAACAATTTCATCTCACGGTTTAGCCTAATTTAGATGGAAAACTCTTTGTTTGCTCCGTTTCCAAGTTTAAATGTAATGGATTTCAGATTTTATTTAAGCTGTTATTTTTTCGCACTTAAGAGTTCCTATAAAAAGTTTTCACCCCCTGGATGTTTTGTGCTTTTATTGCTGCCATCAATTAATTATTTTCATTAAAAAATGGCCTTTAGTTTCTTAATGGGGGTTTCAACAGAACTCCTGGGGATGTTCAGGGTGTTGGAAATCGTTTTGTATTTATCCCCCACTTGTGATTTCCTGTCATCTTTTCTCTGTGTTGAATTAGGATAATCACTTTAAAGAGGTAAATATTCATGCAGTCACTTTACATTGCATATTTTTATTTTGTTCGTGCTAATGAAGCATTCACACTATTGTGATCCATTTTTCTTCCATACATTTTTCAGCATCTTTCTCGTTCCACAATTTTTTGTGCTATTTCAGCAAATCATTCAGCTCTTTTAGAAAGGCGCTATGACTTTTGGTATTGGTGCAACTTTAGTTTTTTGAAATATTTAGCCTTTGTCACTTTTTTCTCGTAGGAAATAAATTGAGCTCATTTTACAATATTTCAGCTCTTTAGATGTGTTTACAACTTTTTACTGCTCCTTCCACATTTTGTTCTGATTCAGCTTTTTTCAGAGTTCTCCTTTGAGATTCTTTCTGCTAACTGCAGCATTTTTGTGCTCCTAACATATTTTGTCTGATTTTAGTTTATTATGCTCCTTTTAGTTTATTTCTTCAATTTTCAGGTTTTCTGCTACTATTGAGCTGTTTTATGTTAATTTTAGTTTGTTTTTTGCTAATTCCATATTTTTTGCACTTCTGTCAACTTTTCTTAGCCTAATTCAGCAAAAATGTGCTCTCCACTTCCTTCTAGTGATTTAAGCTGTTTTAGAAAATTATAGCTACTTTTCAGCCAGGTGTTATATTTTTTGCTAATTTCAGTGGGGGTTGGGGATTTCAGATAATTTCCACTTTTTAGTGCTCATTTCTGCTTCTTTCAGTTTCATTGGGTAAACGTGTTGTTTCTGCTTTCTCCTGCTAATTTAAGCTTGTTTTACATTTTCAGCTACAAACAGGATTCCAAAAAAGTTGGGACACTAAACAAATTGTGAATAGAACTGAATGCAATGATGTGGAGTCAAGTCATATTTATTTATAGAGCACAATTTAAAACAGACTGTTATCAAAGTGCTTAACACTAATGGTAACACTAAGAAATAAAAAGCAGTAAGAATACACCTTAAAAAAATTAAAACGACAGCATTAAAATGAAGACATGGAACAAGATATACTAAATCAACTCACACAGTATGAAATGCTTCTGAACGGAGCGTTGATAACAACTTGGGCTATCCTTGTCTTCTCTGGTCCGGATGACATGGCGTCCCAGTGTTCCATAAAGAACTTCAAATCGTGACTCATCTGACCACAGAACAGTCTTCCATTTTGCCACACTCCATTTTAAATGACCCCTGGCCCAGTGCAAACGTCTGAGCTTGTGGAGCTTGCTTAGAAATGGCTTCCTCTTTGCACTGTAGAGTTTCAGCTGGCAACGGTGGATTGTGTTCACTGACAATGCTTTCTGGAAGTATTCCTGAGCCCATTCTGTTATTTCCTTGACAGTGCCATTCCTGTTTGAGGTGCAGTGACGTTTAAGGGCCCGGACATCACGAGCATCCAGTAGTTTTACGGCCTTGACCCTTACGCACAGCGATTGTTCCATATTCTCTGAATCTTTTGATGTTATGCACGGTTGATGATGATAACTTAAAAGTCTTTGCTATTTTACACTGGTTAACACCATTCTTGTATTGTTGCACTATCTTTTGTGCGAAACAATGGTGGAATTGGTGATCCTCTTACCATCTTGGCTTCTGAGAGACACCGACACTCTGAGAAGCTCTTGTTATACCCAATTATGTTGTCAGTTGACCTAATTAGTGTTAATTGGTCTTCCAGCTGTTCGTTATATGCTCAATTTCCTTTTTCCAGCCACTTATTGCTACTTGTCCCAACTTTTTTGGGATTTGTTGACACTGAAATTTTGAATCAACATATTTTTCCTTTAAAATGTTAGATTTACTCAGATTAAACTTTTGATCTGTCGTCTATGTTACAAACCGTATTCCAAAAAAGTTGGGACACTAAACAAATTGTGAATAAAAACTGAATGTAATGATGTGGAGATGGCAAATGTCAATATTTTATTTGTAATATAACACTGGGACGCCATGTCATCCGGACCAGAGAAGACAAGGATAGCCCAAGTTGTTATCAACGCTCCGTTCAGAAGCCTGCATCACTGATGGTATGGGGTTGCATGAGCGCTTGTGGCATGGGCAGCTTGCATGTCTGGAAAGGCACCATTAATGCAGAGAACCATGTTCAGGTTCTAGAACAACATATGCTCCCATCTAGACGTCATCTCTTTCAGGGAACACCCTGCATTTTTCAACACAATAATGCCAGACCACATTCTGCAGCAATCACAACATCATGGCTACGTAGGAGAAAAATCCGGGTACTGAAATGGCCAGCCTGCAGTCCAGATCTTTCACCTATAGAGAACATTTGGCGCATCATAAAGAGGAAGGTGCGACAAAGAAGAACAAAGATGATTGAACAGTTAGAGGCCTGTATTAGACATGAATGGGAGAGCATTCCTATTTCTAAACTTGAGAAACTGGTCTCCTCTGTCCCCAGACGTCTGTTGAGTGTTGTAAGAAGAAGTGGGGATGCCACACAGTGGTAAAAATGGACTTGTCCCAACTTTTTTGTTATTTGTTGACGCCATGAAATTTGGAAACAACAGATTTTTTCCTTAAAATGATACATTCTCTCAGTTTAAACTTTTGATCTGTGATTTGTGTTCTATTCTGAATAAAATATTAGATGTTGGCACCTCCACATCATTGCATTCAGTTTTTATTCACAATTTGTTTAGTGTCCCAACTTTTTTGGAATCCGGTTTGTACTTTTTAAGCATTTTTCAGCTAACTTCAGCTGTTTTCAGATACATTCAAGTTATTTTTTGGTAATTTCTGCTACTTTCAGCCCAATTAACCTCTGCTAATTTAGCTCCTTTCAGCTTGTTTTATTTTTTATTTTGCTAGTCTCAGCTTGTTCTGCTATTTCAGCTCCTTTAGCTGTTTTGTAATAAATTTAGCTTTTTCAGCAAATGTCCACTTTTTTAGCTCATTTTAGCTCCTTCCACTTCCTCCTGGTAGTTTAAACTTCTTTCTGCCTTTTAAGCTACTTTGTAGCTATTTTTTGCTAATTTCCTAATTTTCTCTTTCGGCTTATTTAAATCTAATTTTGCAAATGCATGTTCTTTCTGCTTTCTTCTGCTAACTTAGGCTTGTTCTTCAATTTCAGCTATATTTCAGCTTGTATTTAGCTCATTTCAGCTGTTTTTCAGCAAGTTCTTCAGCAATAAGCATTCACACTGCATTTTTGCAGGAAATGCAATTAATTTCTCTAATTTGTATTAATCTGTATGAAATTTGATTTGACTCTTGACATTGAAGGTTTTTGTAAATAATTTTTATTTATGACAGCAATAAACATACGGGGGTGAATGCTTTTTTAGCCTCTATTATTCTGATGCATTGTGGGATAATGCCTGCATTAATAAGGGTAATGTCATAAAAATTTTAGTGTCGAGTATCAGGAATGTAAACTTATTACATAAAGATCAATAAAACAATAGAAAAAGCAAAGATTGTCCATATAAGCTTTATATTTTACACAAATACAACTAGTGGATTTACTTTAGCACATATGAACAAGTCAGTTTTGTTTTTAAACTCATGCATAAATCTGCATTTATATTTTATACAAACAAGTTTGTAACCACTAATTAAAGCTGTACCTGTATAATATGGTATAGAAGGTCAAACATTTATTTGATTCATAAATATAAAACACTTTCACCTAAATTATTGTTAGCTTTTCTTCAGCTGACTTATATAATGCACATGTAACAGTACAAGAACATTTAAGTTACAAAGCAAAACTGTACAGTATAAAAGTGCAGTTTACCATCAATCAGAGAACCCTGAAAAACTACATAACATTTTTTCTTTCATAGGATTCACTTGCATAAAGAGCATTACCCATGCAGAATGGAAGCCGATTCAAAGCTGTGGTTAAAAAGGCAACATATGTACAGATTTATACATAAAATAATGAAAATGACTACATTCTTACATTATTGAGACTTCAAAACGTAGCAAAACACGAAAAAGCACTAACAATGACCACATGATTTCCATAATTGTTTTATGGAAACAAAACTTATAGTGGCTGTAGATGAGTGGTTAGAGCAGTCGTCCTCCATTGCAAGAATTGGGGGTTCGATTCCACCAGCAGTCACATGCCCGAAGTGTCCCTGGGCAAGACACTGAACCCCTCATTGCCTCCGATGTGTGTCCCATCAGTGTATGAATGTGATAAAGCACTGATTATAGACATAGAGTGCTGTATGAATGGGTAAATGAGGCACAGATTGTAAAGCGCTTTGAGTATCTTGATAAGATAGAAAGGCGCTATATAAGTACAGTCCATTTACCATTTTAAATAAATTCACCATGCACTGTACACATTTCTGCTAGTTTCAACTAATACAAAGTTTCTTGTGAGGTTTTAAGATTTGTTTAATAGCAGCAAACCTTTAGGTTTCTCCTTTACTAATGAGAGTAATGGGCTGTTCGGTTCCAGGCCGGACCATGAACGTCATCCCATACGGGTGTTTGGAATGCGCTCCCCCACTGTGAAAAACAAACATTATGAGTGGACATGCTGACAAGAACATGAGGCGTTTACGAGGATCAAATCTGAGCACTGATTGTCTCACCTGCTGGGCGGTTCCAGCTGCGAACTCTGTTGGTATTTCTTGATCAGTTTACCCTCCAGCTCCTTCATATCCATAGATGCTGGTTTGGTTTTTGTTGGAGGGGGACATTTGATCTGTGTTTTGGCTTTCGGTACAACAGGGACCTTATTGTCCTCTTCTGGTGCTGTGGTGCCCCAGTCATCTGTACTGGAGTCGGCGGTAACCACTGGGGCCATTTTGTGGTCCATTTCTATCATCTTCTTTTGCAAGATGCTAAGAAGAGTGGCTTGATTGGGTGACAGGGTAGCGGGAAGTTGATTGGTAGCTTGTTTGGGTTTTGTCTGAACTTGTGCTTTTGGTTTGACGTCAATGTCAGGAGGTGGGAGTTTTGGAGGTGGAGGGGGTATGTGGTTTGGAAGAGCTGGAGGTGGTAAGTCTATGGCTGGTTTTGGAGCTTTTTTTGCAGGAGGATCAGGTGGACAGATGGATGGGGGTGGCTCAGTTGTCTCAATGAAGTCATCAAACCCTGGTGGTGGAGGAAGCAATGGCACATTCAGCTCCTCGTCCTGCTGTACAGCCTGGTACTGTGAGATGGTCTCTTCTGCACTTTGTTTCTGCTCAGCCAAGTTGTTTACAGTTGGAGACGAAAGTGCTGGACCATTTGATGGCTTCTGAAGCATGGCCTGAGTGGGATTGATGGACTTTTCTGGAGCTTGAATTGTCTTTTCGTGTTCTGCGGGCCAAACAGACTGTGCAGTCTCTTGTAATTTTTCTTGTGAGGGAGTTAAAGATGACGAGGTAGGCTTTGGTACAACAACAAAGGAATTTGGACTCAAATCACTCGGGTAAATGCTTGCACTGGAATGTTCACTCTTGTTGGTGCTGCCTTCTCGGGACACAGAGGCAGTCGTCCTATTTTTGTCTCTTTGTTTAGCTGCTTGTAGGAGAGCCAGTGGGGACGCAGCAGGAGCCTCTCGTGACCCACTGACTTCATTAGCCTTTAAGGTACGTAGCTTACGATCCAACATTGGACTGAAACTGCGGCTTTGACCTGGAGATCCATTAATTTTGAGGGTTTCTGAATTACCATTCTGAACATTCTCCATTTTCTGTAGCTGTGGAGATTGAGGTGGTTTGGTTATTTCCGACTGGGCTGGAGGTGTTTCTGTTTTAGCCTTTTTCTGAAGCTCAGTTTGGGATAATTTAGATTGTTGGGGGGTTTCTAATCGAGACTGTTGGGGGGTTTCTAATCGAGACTGTTGGGGGATTTCTAATCGAGACTGTTGATGGGATTCTAATTGAGACTGTTGGGGGATTTCTAAGTCCTTCTTTGGTTCTTGTGCATCTTTGGGATCTGGTGTAGGTGCTTTAGGAGCTTGAGTAGATTTTCCATCCACAGTGACAAGCACAGGAACAGAGTTACGTGACCCTGATTCTTCCAAGAGTAGCATCTGCTTTGGTCTTGCATCATGATTCTCTTGTGTGCCAAGAAAGGTGGTTTTGGGAGTATCTAAAACCTTTGCCTTGTGTTGGGGGTTGAAGGTGGAGAATGTGGATGTGTGCACAGTGGGAGGAGGTGCTGGGCTCTGTGGTGGGGAGTCATTGAAGATGGAAGAGAATCTAGCGGGCTTTGGAGGTGGTGCTTTGTTAGTCTTGAGTTGTTTTTCTTGAGGAGGTTGTGGTGGGGCAAATTTTGGATGCTCAGGAATGTTTGGTGGTGGTGAACTGACGATGGGTGCAGATGATGCAGAGTCACTGGAGCTGGTTGACAGGGGCTTTGTTGGTGCTGATGATGGAGAATTTACGATGGCTAAACCCTCCTGCTCCACGGACGGTGGCAATTTTGGTGCTGGCTTTGAAGGAGGCGCAGGGGCTGCAAGGCTGTTCAGGTCACCAAAGAAGTCTGGTGGAGGGGGAATAAAATCCACTGGAGGGGGTGGGGGTGCCATTGAAGGAGGAGGAGGAACAAATATTTCATCTTCCACGTGGCCAGATATAATGGATCCATTGGATAATTTATTTCCAGCATCTGTGGAAGACAAGAAAAAAGAAGTAAATTAATGCAAATTTTTGAGACATGTTGTAAAACGTGGAGGGGGAGTAAGAAAATTTAATATAATCATTTTCCTATAAAGGTCTGAAAATCAAGTCCTTTGAGAATGACAATCATTTTTAGAATCGCTAAACCTAAAATGTTCAACTAAATCGCATAGAAACACTCCTATTGTGTAAACATTCTCTAAATCTGATGTGGTAGTTTGGACTTTTTCAGGAGAGTTATTGTGCAACTACCTGGCTAAACATTTACCGGCCCTGCTTTTTCCTTTTATACCTATTCCTGTGATCCATCACCTGAGTCTGTGTAAACTGCACCAGAACAAACCCTGGTCCAACCGAATCTAAATAATCTATTCATTTTCCTGTGTACTTTAACCTTTCGTACATAGTAGGGTTTAGTTAGATACTCACCTGTGCCATTGATTTTTGGACCATTGGTAGACGGGAGGAGAGGGACTTTAGGTGTTGGAACTGCAAACCCTTGGAAACTTTCTGCAATGGACTGTGGGGAAGAAACCAAACACTGTCAGAACTCACTGCCACAAGAAGCAGACATGGTACAAGAAACAACAGGGATGAGATTAGAAACTGTACGCTCTGTTCTATAGAAAAAAAAAAATATTGGCAAGTCTTTCCTCTTGAGGTGAACAAACCAGTTCTTAGCTGTTGCATGTGTTCCTTGAAAAGGGGATGCATAATTGATGTCAACAGGATAAAAGTTTCTGGCAAGGGGGTTTTCTTTGATTTCGGTGTTATGGGAAACGTCTAGTATGGCTGTTCACAAGTGCCTCATTTGCACACTATTTGTATGAAGAGTGGGTGATAATGAAACTATTTATTCCTCAGGGAAGTTAATTAAAATGCAATTGCCTGTGTCTGTGTGAATGTTTGTTAGTCTGTTAACAAAATATCTCATGAACCACTGGGCAGATTTTATTGAAACCTTCGAAGTGATCATTGATTGCACAACAGATTAACCTTTAGAGTTATTTTGATTCAAGATGGAAGTTAAACACAAAAATAGCTATAACTCAGTTAATTTGACCAATACTGATACACGATCTGATGTGGTGTTAGCTAAGAGTCATCCCAAACACATACTCGGAGCACAAATGGATTGCATTAAAACTTTTCCATTAACTATTAGAATCAACTTTGACTGTCTGTTAGCAGAATATGTCATGAATCAGAGTCAATGAAACTCTCAGAAGATAATCATTTGATGCCAATCCGCAACTAATTAACCTAATTCAAGATGGCCACCACTCCACAGTGACCTTAGCAAACATGAAATGGTTATATCTAGGCCTGTCACGATAACAAATTTTGCTGGGCGATTAGTTGTTTCAGAAATTATTGCGATAAGCGATAATATTGTTTTGAAGTTTGGCAATAATTAGTAATTATTGTCAAATTTAAGAAGAAATGTTGATTTGTTTTGGGTGTAGTACCTTTTTTGACCACCGGATCAGTATAAGACTGTTTGAACCAAAGGATGGATAGTGAGGGAGCGAGCAGCGTGTCTCTTTAAGAAAAATGGGAGGACCCTTGACGTGACATGGGCGGTCTCTCTTTCCTGTTTTTCGGTTCTCAAAATGGCGAACACTCGGTGTGGTTTGAGCTCTTTAGCATAGCATTTCTCACACAAAGCTTTTAATAAAAAAAAAAATAAATCAGGAAACAAGTTCCCAGCTTCTTTTTGCAGAAAAAAACTTTTTACACGAAGGCACGGGTTTCAGCTGTGAATTTTGGAGCTTTGACAAGACAAAGGTCAACCTGTTAGCTTAGCTCATAGCTTAGCTTCTCAGCTTAGCTGCTTTTAAAGATCCAAAAACGCAATTTTGAACGGTTAAAACAAATTTAAAAGAGAAAGGGAGGGGTCAGTGAAGAGCACAGGAGTTGAGCCTTTTGTCATCCAGTGTCTTCAGTAGAAAGAGAGAGACACGAAGAAACGATAAAAGCCGATAAATGAAAATGAGATCGATAATTTTCATTTATCATGCGATTAATTCATTTGTTGTTTATTGCAACAGGCCTAGCTATATCTCAATCAATTTTACAGATGCTGAGCTAAAATTTGGTGTATTGGCTCCTGAGAGTCCCACCCAACAAATACTCCAGGTGCTAACAGATCAAGATCATGAGTTAAAACGTCAGCATGCGGTGGGTAATGTCTTTCTTCAGAGAATTCTAGTTTCATTTAACCTGTAAAGCAAAAAAGCATTCAAACAAGCACAGAACAAATCATTTTGCCCTTGTCAGTACAAAAATGCTTGGATTTTGCTTTTGGGTTTGTCGTGATATACTTTAGGCCAAACACCAGACATTCACGTTCTTTAGTTATGAGGAAGATTTGATGAATCAGAGGATACACCTAACTTTCATGGCACTGTTGTTCTTAAAATGGGCCTGGCTTCAGATACCTGTGTTTGTGTCTGTGGGTGAATGTGAGGGAGGTGGGGACAAGAAACTAGCAGAGAGGAGTGCTGTTCGCTTCACGGAACCAACGCCACCAAAAGCAAACACAGACGGTGTTGACACAACAAACACTTTCAAGATATAAAAGTCGAAATCATTCCAGCGTCGCTCGACATGGTTTCATATCTGCGACTTTCGGTGCGCGTTTGATGCATCTCTACATGTTAATAATCTCATGTAATGAAGTTTAATACATTTTGTTAATTAGCTGGATTGTTATCCAAATATATGAGTTGTTGAACTAGTAATTTACAGGGAATAATTCATGTTTCTATGTAATGGGGATATCCCCGTGCTTTATAAACAAGATTCCAACACATTAAACATAATTTGTTTATTCCACCATTTATGCAAATCCACCCAACAATCCCGCTCCTCAAAACTAAAAAGCGCTGACAGTCTGTGCGAAACCACCTGAATGACGTCTTGTTTGCGAACACTTTTGCTGACACTTTGAAAGTGATAAACCCTGCATGGCAGTGTGAGGGTGTGACACCAGAGGCGGTGCACGATCCAGTTTGATTCTGTCTGCTCGTTCTCAGCACCATGACTCACTTTCAGCTGTCGTAGCGCTGCGAGGCGTCCTGCCCGTGTGCTGCTGGGTGTGCCACAAAACACTCCCTAACTATGAGGCGAGGTGTGTGAACCGGAGCGCAGATGAGCTGTTCATTTGCTCCATGATGAGATAATAGGCGGCTGTCAGTCAAACAGACTACCAAAGCGGACATAAATTAAAATGGATCTTTTCCAAACTACAAAAAATATATATATATATGTACATGTGTGACTTTGCATTGAGCCAGTGTTGCAACACCTCATGCTGGGAATATCTAAAGTTGATAAACACAAAAAACGCATTGTAGATGCACAATATTAGGATATTACTGCAGTGTTTTAGTTAAATATAGGGTATGTGTAGGTATTTAGAGACCATCTGATTGGTCAAATCCATTATTGACATAATTTATATCTCCAGTTTATTGCAATCCTTTGCTTTACTGATTTTGCATCATATGATATTGTAATTTTGATATATTGTTTAACCCTAAATTGCAATTAAAAAGCATAAAATAACTCAGAATATTTGAAGTTGCACCGTAAAGATTTCTAACTAGAAGCTATTTATGGGCAAAACTAGTTTAATTATGCAAACAAAATTCAGTCAGGTCATCTGGACGGTTTCTTTTTTGTTGTTGTTGTTGAGATGTTTCGTCCTTCATCCCAAGGACTTCATCAGTCCAAGGAGCCACAACAAACTCAGTCCCACAAGCAACACACTCCCATAGTGGGCCAAAGGACTGACAAAGTCCTTTGGATGAAGGATGAAACGTTTCAACAACAACAACAAAAAAGAAACCATCCAGATGACCTGACTGAACTTTGTTGGATTTTTTTACCTGGATTACTGAGCATGAACTTTGATAGTTTAATTATGAACATGTTGAACTTAAAACATGTTTTATAGCTGTGTAAATAGGATAAAAAGTACAAGATTTAAAATGATTCGTTACAGGGCAATTTGTGTCTTATTTAATTTGTGTAACTTTTATTTTACCATTTCTAAATGTATGTTTATTTTAAGCTTTGGCTCTATTGGCCTTCAGTGTCTGTTGACCTGCAGAGTGGTTTTTATAAAGCAACATTATCTTTACCGAGAACTGATTGCTCAAATTCTGTTTCTTTCCAAGAAAAGTGCTATTCTTAGTTCTGTAAGTAAGTAAGTCTGCAGGTCTGCTGAAAGACTCTCACTGAACAGTTGAGCAAAGTTGGAGAGAAACGTCTAAACCACTGAAAATGTATTTACATCTGGAGTGATGAGGCTTCAAATGGACTAACTCTTCAATTTAAGGTTTAAAAGACAACTTTAGTATTTTAGGTTATTGATGCAATAATAAAATGAACAGAAAAGTCATGTCAATAATGGAGCGTCAGTAAATACTCACAGTGTGATGCTTGACTGTGGGTCTGGCCCGCACGTTGGCCGTCCCAGATTCAGAGATCTTGGTTGAATCCAGCACCAACTCCACATTTTCTGATTTGTACACAAACATAGTACTTGTTAGCATGCCTCTGTTTATGGAAAAAATACTGACGTAAAGTACTGTGCAAAAGTTTTGAATCAACCCCTGCTTTTCTTAAATAGTTTTCACTCCAACTGACTTTCTTTAAAACTTTTCAAATGGTCTGACAAAGTTTTTTTCTTTGAATTTGGCCCCCTTTTCACTTGTTTTCAGTTCTTTTACCTGGCAGCAACAATACATTGTACAGTGTGTTCTAAAAAATGAGGAAAAAGTACATACGGAGGACAAACGGCAAAACTTCAGGTGTTACAAATCGATCTATACCACATGAAAACGGCTCATTTTTGGCATTTTTTCATAGCTTCAACTAAAGAATGAGAACAAACCGTGCTTTTGTGACAATGATGGTAAGTGCCTGAAGACCCAAAGTGAAAACACAACACTTAAGTGACCTAAGAAACAAATTACAACATTCCTCTGAAAATGGTCATGTACTGGAAGGAAAATTAGTTTAAAAGGAGTAAAAATAGACCAAGTCTCCTCCCAAAAAACTGAAAAATCTTTAGAAAATCTTTTGATAAAGACATCTTTAAAAGAGCAAAAGGTCTGGCTGCTTGAAAGCAAAATATGAAGACGGGGATGTCTCAGCATAGAGTTATTTTAGATTATATCTATAGATTGTATTTATATGTTAGATCATATTAACGTATGGAAAAATGTCCCAAAAGGGACATTTTAGAGGTCGTCCGTCAACCTCATGATGACGTGAAATGATTTGTTGCTGACAACAAAATAGCAACGCACAGTTGAAGCAGTGGCAGTAATTACACTCGAGCGCCGTCATGAAGGGAGAGTTCAGTCATGGTTACAGCAGCACAACATATAGAAAACTTAAGCCATTAACGGTTATCCAGTGTTCAGACAGTTTATCTAAGGTGAAACTGAATTAGTATCGACGATGCCGTTGAAATAGATTTAACTGCCTGGTTTTTTTTTTTTTACTTGTCCTTGCAAGACTTGTTTGCACAGCAGAAACTAAAGCAGCTAAAGCTCTGAGTCATGGCTGCTTCAAAGAGCACTGAGGCACAAACACAAATCTCAACGTCAGATGAAGCAGCTCAGACAACGTGATCTAAAGATGGAAGCCATTTTGCTTTTAACAAACGATGGAACCGGAAGTTGATTGGAGAAAGAAAAATCTTGGAAACAAGTTCTCTTGCGGTTAATTCCTGCGTCTGTCAGGCCGTTGGTCTAACAATTAGACCGATGACAGATACTCGTCACTAAGAGGCATTTAGTCTGTTTATTCCTCCAGCTATTGATTTTCTTGCATTTTGAAACAACAAATTAGGGGACGTCATTCAAGGATGTGGGAACGAGGCTCGAATGGAAATATGGCGGTTTTAAACCAGTCTAACCAAATGATTAGTTTTCCTTTTGTGCCTTGTCCTGATTTAAATAGACAAATGTTCTCTCTCATGTTTCACCTTTGCTCAGCCTTGACTCCTATAGGTTTCCTGTTCTTACTGATCGCATTAAACCAAAGATTCACAGAGTGGGGAAAACTTGTTGGTAAACTTTTATCTAAATCAAGAAGTCTGTCTTGGATTCAAGTGGGCGCGATATTAATGGAGCTTTATTTTTATTGGTTATGAATGCTTCTTTGCATGCAGCTGATGAATATCTGTGACAAACAGCAGTCAATGATGCAAGATTATTTCAGCTGTTTCCTCAAAAGACTGAGATTACAAGAAGTGTTCATGTGCAAAAATTTGGTTTAAGATTATGGCTTGAACTGATGGTTTCTAAACTTTAAATATTCTGGTTCATCAAAGGTTTTAGAGCTGTCCTGGTCTCAAAAAATAACAATAATCATTCTTAAATAAGGTACACAGGTTTTCTCAGGTGGATAGGAGTTGTGAAAGTGCAGTTAACTGGAACAGTGGAGGTCAAATTAGGCTTTTAAAAGGTCGGCTCAAGTTTTTAAAGTAAGTGGTCGCACAGTGGTTAGGAAGCAAAATGGCCATGCTTTCTTGGTTGCAAATGTCCTTTGGCGGACTCTGCAGAGGTTTCTGCCGTGCACACACATTCAGACAATTACCTTCAACAAAAACTTCTAAGATCAACCCTCCTGTCCTCCCTGAAAAATTTAACCATGTTAAACACATTTTAGAAACCGGTTCAGTGGTCTGATGCCATTACAGTAAACCTCTTTTGGTTACAAGAGAAAAGGCAAACAAGGCTCCAAACACAACAGTGGCTGAATCATAGTTTGGGCTTGTGTTGTAGCATTTCCCTGGTGGAGGGAGTATTATTTAATTTAACACCAACGAATCTTTGGTGCATCGTAAAAGGCAGATGGAGGTTTCTACAGCTGAAAAAGAAACCCAAACACTCTGCAGAACCTCCAAGGGGTTGACCTCAAGAGAAAGACTTCATATTACAGTCCTCGCACGCCAACTACCATATTTTTCGGATTATAAGGCGCACTTAAAATCCTTTAATTTTCTCAAAAATCGACAGTGAGCCTTATAATCCGGTGCACTTTATGTATTAATTCTGGTTGTGCTCACTGACCTCGAACCAGTTTTATGTGGTACACGGCGCTCAAAAATCTGTCAAAATGTTTTAGTTTCGCTTAATGCACCTTATAATCCAATGTGCCTTAAAGTCCGAAAAATACAGTATATAAGAACTTTGTGGATGGAAAAACACCTTAAAATAAAATTAACACGATCTGATCTAAAAAATACTTTTAAAAAGGTGTCTTTGCCAAGGGGTGTGTTACTAAAACCTGACCACAGAGTGTGCCCAAACTGTTTATTCCTTCTTCTGTTTGTTAAAATCTGAGTGAGATGCTAATAAAAATATGTACTCCTGTCAAAAATGGGGGGAACATCTGCTGGAAATGTGCTTATTTTCATAATGTTCATAGCAACCAAGCGTTTCAATGTTATTAAATTTTGCATTTTTATCAACTGCTATCAAAAGCAAATATGGACAATCATGTCTTATTTGTGTCCAAAATATTACAAAATTATCTCATGTACCACTGGACAACTTTTAATTAAACTCTTAAAAAGTAACCTCTCAATGAACATAACATTTGGTGTCCAATTCAAGATGGCTGACACACAAAAAAATGACAATAACTCAGTTCGTTTTACCAATATTTAGCTAAAATGTATGTGGTAATAGCTGAGAGTGATTCACAACGCATCCTCTGAGCACTGTTGCATCAGACTGAGCATATAAAATGATCTTTGTCTAAAACGTTGGCATGAAAGGTGGTGAGTGATAAACATCCCATTAAAGAGCCTTTAGTTGTGAAAGGATATGTTTCAGTCTTCTATCGTTGGGTTATTAACACACGTTTAAACTGATTTCCATAGAGTTTTGCATAATAATACCTTGAATTTTGCCTTTCTGACCTGAGCTGTGTCAATATTCAAAGTTAAAAGTCTGTGTGTGATGCAAACCCAATAAACATCTGATTTAGGCTTGAAAATTAAATTGTTAAACTAGACATAATCTTTTATATATTTAGATTAATATAATTATCTGCAAACGAGCAGGACGGTTTGAAGCATCAAGGTCAACTGGATTTCCCATGGAGGGATTTGAACGTTTAAAAAACATGTTTTTCGTGAATTATTATATATTTCTCTCAAAATCATCTACTTCAACCTGTTTGATATGACACGTCATGAAGTAAAAATAAAAAAAAATATTCATTAGTGCTGAATTGTAGCATGTTTGTGAAAGAGAATTGAAGAGCAGCAGGGTTTGACAGTGTTGTTCGTGTCAACATCAAGTCCAAAGGTTGATGTAATCTAAGTACAGACAGCTGCTCTTCCCTGACAACAACTCACCCATGTCCTGGATCTTAAGTTTGGTGTCGAACAGAGACTGGTTCTTCCGACTCTGAAAATTCAGCAGCCCTTTCTTCATTGTTTGGCTTTTCTGTGAACAATCAGTCACTGTTTCATGTTGATCAGCAGGTAAATCCCAGGTAAAAACTGCAGACCGAGTGTGAACTTTTTTTCTAGATAGAGTTTTAAAAAAAAAAAGTCTCAACCCCCGCCCATTGTCCCTTCACTGCACCTCCCTCCTGCAGGTGAGGCCTCCTTTTCAGCCACATTCCTGTGCAGATTTTCCAGAGTGAAGCGCTGACGAAGCTTCACTGTACTGCAACGCTTTGATCAACCTGAAACGTTCAAATATGCACTTCAGAGCTGGTTTGACAGAGCTGGTGTGGCTGTGGCTAGAAGGCGTCAAACCGAGTTAATTAACACACATGTTCAAGAACACAGGGTTCCTTTGTTTGACATAATCACAAAGTCGACAACATGTTCTCACTGAAGGTCAGTGTTTTAAATAACAAGAAAAAAAAAACATGCACATTTTTGTTGTTAGCTTCATAAACGTGAAATAAAACAGCCAATAAAAAACTATTAAAATATAACGATTTATCTGGCTACACGTGACATCAAGCACATTAAACTGAAGTAGCATTATTTGAGATGCAGTCACCTTCTCCAAATTATAGTTATTTGAATCTATCCACTCTACTGAGCAATCGTGCAAATGAGACTGAGTCTGAGTACTATGACCAACATTTTTATTTAAATCGGAACAGATTTGTTGTTTATTTTTCAATTTACCCTTTTAATAAAATGTTTTTATAACACAGCTACTGTTACATTTAGATTTTGATTGTATGGTAATGTAAATAACGAAAAACTTCACCTTAACAGAAGAAGACAAAGGAGATGATTGTGGACTTCAGAAGGAATAAACACACCTACACCCCACTGAACATAAGAGGATCTGTGGTGGAAGTGGTCTCCAGCTACAAGTACTTGGGTGTACACATGAACAACAACCTCAGCTGGAGCAACAACACCACCAGCCTGATCAAGAAAGCTCATCAGAGACTCTACTTCCTCAGGCGGCTGAGACGAGCTGGTCTGGGAAGGAAAGCTCAGTCCTCACCTCCTTCTACAGGTGTGCAGTGGAGAGCATCCTGTGTGGCATGGAGGCTGCACAGCTGCAGAAAGAAAAGCTCTGCAGAGAGTGGTGAAGGCTGCACAGAAGTCTGTCAGAGTCAGCCTCCCCACCATCACAGACATCTACACCTCCAGATGCAGGAAGAGGGCCACCTGCATCATGAAGGACCCCACTCACCCAGCACACACACTTTTTGTCCCACTCCCCTCAGGAAGGAGGTTGAGGAGCATTAAGTTTAGAACCACTAGACTGAGGAACAGCTTCTACCCTGAGGCTGTTAGACTCATGAATCTCTAACCAGGATAATCAATGTGAAAAAAATAACATCATGTTGCTGCTGATCTGTTTCATGTTGATGTGTTCATGTGTGTTCATCTGCTCACACAGACTCATGCTCATGTTTGTGCTGTTGGTCGACGTAATATTTTTATGCTATTAGTATATTTTAATTTATGTTTTTCTTAGTTCACATCTTAGATGCTATCATTGTTTTTCTTGTACATTTTATTGTTGGATGTAACTGGGACCGTGTGTACATAATTTCACTCCACCACATGTGCCATATGTGATGCGAATGGCAATAGAGAATCTCTGACTCTGACTAACATGTCTTAAAGTAACGATGAATTTCATCGGCACAGAAAGTGTTGATCCAAATAGAAAATTGTCTTTTGAAATTTTTGAGTAAAGCAAGAACTGAAAGGGGGGGAGGCAAAAGCACAGCCCTGGGGTTCTCCCAAACTACTGTTTGTCCTTGTTCAACAAGACTGGATTTGCAAAAAAACTGAATTGTTAAAAATCTAAAATAAATAAAGACAACATTCCTCGCGGGAACTTGCTTCTGTTAGTGATTGTGCTATGTGTTATGAATGAGTCTCAGCCACTACCACACCAAATGTTCACTAAATACATTAAAAAATGATTAAGTTAAAATTACTTTTATATTGGGTAAGGTAGTCATTTTGAATCGGGCTGCCTAAGTTATTCAGGGGCAGACGTTAATCCAATTATTATTCTCTGAAAGTTTCAATAAAATCTGTTCAGTGATACATAGATAATCCACTTGCTGATGACATTACAATTATAAAAAGTATTACTTTTTGATTCTATAAACCTTGCCTACAGAAGTGCATAATGAAGTATTTCAGTGTCGTCTAAATGCATGCTTTGAATAACACTAAAACAAAACACACGACCACAGCTGCTCAAGTGTCCATGCTGTTCAAAGAACCAGCCAATGTTTCCTTTTAGTTACAGTACACCTGAACCTCGCTGTCCTGGAGACAAAACACACCTGTCCATCCTGTTACGCTCTTTCGTGGGAATGCATCATGCTGGTAGGAATAAAATGCAAAGAATGTAGTAGCAAGAATCTTTACTGTTTAACCTGCTTGACTGCATAAGATACTGTACACACAAGCCGTTGCTAATGGTTATGCTTTTAAAAAAATCTTATTACTTCATTATTTTCTGTCGGGGAACATATTTCTTTGACTTTCAATTTACGCATAAACTAATAAAGACATTTCACACAGTTGATAAAAGTTTTACCATGTTTTACTTGAACACTGGAGTCATAAATCAGTGACTTCTCTTTTCCTTCCATTTGTTGTGATAGTGGAGATCCTGATCGGTTTACTGTCAAAACTAAAACACCTCCATGGAGACCAAGTCTAACTGCAAGTTTTAATTTGTTTTTTATTGTCATTTTTACGTTTTTCACAAGCTTGTTACCATCCACGATCCATCCATCGTTCATCCATCCATCCATTATCTTCTTGTTCTGAAGTCAGGTCTTGGTGGCAGCAGCTTGAGCAGGAGGTCCAGACATCTCTTTCCACAGCCACCTTTTCCAGCTCTTCTGGGAGGACCCCAAGGCGTTACCAGGCCACCCGAGAGACATATTCTTTCCAGTGTGTCCTGGGTCTTCCCCAGGGTCTCCTCCCAGCCAGACATGCCCAAAGCACCTCCCGAGGGAGGCGCCCAGGGAGCATCCTTAGATACCCGAACCACCTCAACTGGCTTATTTCGATGTGGAGGAGCAGTTCTACTTTGAGTGTCTCCCAGATAACTGAACTTCTCACCCTATCTCTAAGGGAGAGGCCAGCTACCTTGCGGAGGAAACTCATTTTAACCACCTGTATAGGCAACCCCATTCTTTCGATCACTGCCCAAAGTTTGTGACCATAGTTGAGGGTAGGAACGTAGACCGACCGGTCAACAGAGAGCTTTGCCTTACAGCTCAGCTCCTTCTTCACCACAACGGATCGGCACAGGGTCCGCAATACTGCCGCCGTTGCACCAATCCGTCTGTCAATCTCACGCTCCATTCTTCCTTCGTTCGTGAACAAAACCCCAAGATACTGAAACTCCTCCACTGGAGGCAGAACCTCACCCTTGACCTGAAGAGAGCAATCCACCCTTTTCCAACTGAGGACCATGGCCTCAGATTTGGAGGTGCTGATTCTCATTCCAGCCGCTTTACACTCGGCTGCGAATCACTCCAGTGAGACGATGACGCCACCAGGACCACATCATCTGCAAAGGGCAGAGATGGAATCCTGAGGCCAACCAACTGGAAACCCTCCACCCCCTAGCTGCACTGAGAAATTCTGTCCATAAAAGTTATGAACAGAATTGGTGACAACGGGCAGCCCTGGCAGAGTCCAGCTCCCACCCTGAGGGGTCCGACTTACTACCGGCAATGCGAACCAAACTCTCACGCCGCTTGTATAGAGACTGAACAGCCTGTAACAACGGGCCACCATTACCATACTCGTCACGAAGCACCCCCCACGGTGTACCTCAAGGAACATGGTCGAAAGCCTTTACAAAGTCCACAAAGCATGATGGGCAAAGCTTGTTACAGTGAATTCAAACATTTCTGTTCAAAATTTGGTCTAATAGATCTAGTAGAGTGCTGTATGAATGGGTCAATGAGGGCACAGATTGTAGTGTAAAGTGCTTTGAGTATCTTGATAAGATACAAATGCGCTATAGTACAGTCTATTTACTATATATAAATGTTTCATTTCCAAATAATTAAAGCAGAAGATATAAAGCTAAATAAATGAGACTAAAACTACAAATGTAAAGAATGCAATACATTGATACAAAAGGTCATTAGAAACATTTAAAGGACTGCATTTGTCTTATACACTCCTCCATTTTCACTGTAGCTGATTTCTGATATTTAAGTCTTGTAAGACAAGCCACGTTCTTATCAGCGTTGGTTCCCGTTCTTAATTCAGCATGTTCCAACATAAACTAATACTATATAAAGAGAATAATACAGAACAAGGTGGGAAATTAAAAAACAGCCCTCTCGTGTAAATGGTGTGACGTGTCAGTATCGAACTGAAATGCAGAGAAATGACTCAAACAGAAAATGAAACTTTTGCATTCTCGGTTTGTTTTCTGCAGAAAGGATTTTTTCAGGTGGAAGTTTTGTAACAAAATGGTTTTAAAAAAGGCGAATGTGCTAGAAGTTTCTCAAAGTCTAAACTTTTAATGTGTTCATAGAGATTGCGCTGGATTTTTGTTTGAATGAAATGAAGCTTGGTGACAAAATTTCTGCAAATGAAAAATGTAAAAAGAACTCGGTTTAAAAGGGAGGTGGAGGAGGAGGTTGTCAAAAGATTTCTGTGGTATTAAAAACACACACAAAAAAAACCTTCAGGAATATATGTTAAGCGGCAGAAATAATAAAAATGCCAACACTTCTTTCTGCATTTCCTTCTTCAGGGGTCTCCACAGCGAGTCATCCTCCTCCATCTCACTCTGTCCTCTGCAGCCTCTGTCCTCACTCCAACTGCCCCCATGTCCTCTCTAACTGCATCCAGATATCTCCGCTTTGTCTTTTTCCTGGCAGCTGCATTTCTAACATCCTTCTACCAATATTGTCCCTCCTCTGGACATGTCCAAACCATCTCAGTCTGGTCTCTCTAACTTTATCTCCTAGTTGTTCAACCTGTGCTGTACCTCTGATGATCTCATTCCTAATCTTATCCATCCTT